TTTTTTTTTTTTTTTTCTTCATATATTTGATACAGGGTCTCACTACAGAACTTGGAATTGCAGTGATCCTCCTGTTTCCAGCCTCCTCCGTACTGAGATTAAAGGTGTGCGCCACCAGGGCTGGTCTTGGTGGCCGGCTCAGGGTGCCTGGCAGTCAGACTGGCATGCCATGGGGTACCAGGGATTGAACCCTGGTCCCTGTGCTTGCCTAGGTAGGTGTTCAGCCCGCTGACATATCTCACTGGCCTTTCAGACTGCACCTTTTAAGGCAATGAATTGTCTTTCTAATTAATCAACTGGTTTCTTATAGGACTTATTTATTGAATATCTTGAAGCCTCCACATATAAAATGATATCTACACTTGCTCTCCTGCTGTGACACACACAGAAGAGTTATTCGAGGTGAAAGAATTCCATCAGTAAAGCACATCAGCTTGAAAGACAGAAGTCTTCTCAAAAGAGAAGAAGGATATCCTTTCTCCTACTCTACTTGTACACTTTCTCACGGTCTGAAGCATCTGTCCCGACTCATGAAGGGTCTCAGCTAAAGATAGATGAAATGAAGAGAGAGAAATATGTCCTGCAGTTGTAGACTCAGATCCGTGGCACAGCACTTGCTAGGCGAGTGTGAGGCCCTAGGTTCATTCCCAAGCACTAGGGGGTGGGGTGGGTATGTGAAGGCTTCTGTCTGTTTTATTTTCTCCTCCTGTATACCCTTAATTTCGAGGACACATCAAAATATTACAATTACAAAATCATGCATTTTTTACCACTATACTCATGAAGAAGCCATTTAGAGGCAATGCATTTGCAGGGCCATTTTAGCCACTGAAGGTTTTAAAGAACATTGCATCAAGGAGCAGACCCCTCACTGATTCTCATATATGCTCTTCAGTAACTTTATACAGCTATGGGACACATCTCTCCAAAAGACACCATCAGCATTGCTTGAACAAAATGTTCATGACCCCACGGATCTGTCATCTTTTAATTCTGAACATTTGGAAAACTAATGGTTCATGGGAAGACAAACATTCAGGTTAAAAAACTAAATCCAGTTGCTAAAACTGAAGAGGGGTATAAATTCCCTGCTTATTAAGGCTAATTCTAGATAAATACAAATCATGTGCTCATTCCCAATAATTGTGTTGAAATAAAGCACTACCTGCTGCCTCTTTAAGAACACAACATTGCAGTTGAGCAATTTCAACAATAAGCTTTCAATTTTAGAACAGTTTTAAGTTTACAAAAACATTATGAAGATTGTATAGCATTCCATTTACATATATGTAACTTTCCTGTTGTTAAAATCTTACATTATTATGGTACATTTATCACAATTTATAAACCAATGTTGATGTGTTACTAAGGTTTTTATTTTAGTCAGCTTTCCCGAATTTTTGCCTAATGTCCCTTTTCTGTCCTAGGATCATTTGCAGAACAGTACACTTTGTACTTTAGCTGTCAGGTACTCTCAGGCTTCGCTAGCTAGCAGTTTCTCAGGCAGCCTTTCTTCATGCTGGCCTTAATGGTTGTGAGAAATGTTAGCCATGTATTTTGTAAAAGAAGGAATGAGGATGCCTTCGGGAAATGGCCGCACGCAGGACCTGAGGAGAAAAGGTCTTCTTTCCTGACTAGACTGCGGTCACGTTTTGCAGGTGATGGCCAGGGCAACGGTGAGGAGCTGTCTTCCCTGATGTCTTAGCAGGGCACAGAACATCAGCATGAGCTGGCACTGATGCGGTTGGCCGTGACCACGTGGTCACGGCAGTGTCCGTCAGATTTCTGTACGGTGAAGCTCTGTATTTTCCTCTGCTTCCATATTGGGTTATTTTTAAGGAAACCCCTACGCTGAGGCCACACATTAAGCAGAGGGGAATTCTCGACCTCCTTGACAGTGCAGCATTTTGAGAATGATTTGGAACTTTTCACTGTGTGTTCTTTCCCATTTATCCAGTCAGTCACCCATTTGCACTGTCAGCATGGATTCCAGGGTGTCGGTTCTATACCTTCTGTCATGCTCCAGTACTATGCATTTTTACTCAAAGGATCCCAGCTTTGGCTGTCAGGAGCTCCTTCAATTGAGCATGATGGCCCATCATGCTCTTCATCGCTGCCTCTTGGGAGGCTGAGGTGGGAAGACTGAAAGTGCGAGGCTGGTCTGGTCAACTTGGCGAGGTCCCATCCCAAAAGAAATAAAAAGGGCTGGGATGTAGCCCTGAGATAAAATGCTTGCTCAGAGAGCTTGAGGCCCTGCTTTGATCTCCAGAACTGCAAACCAAAAATCTTCCAGTCGATTCCTGCATTCCTGTGGTACACCCGCATCACCATGGGAATGTATTTGTTGTTGGTGAAGGCAGGAGGGCGCTGCTTTGCCTGTGGGTGCCACGATGTGTTCCATCCAACCTGTTCCCTTCCTGGCTTGTCCTACGTGCAGCCATTTCTCTAAGGCATCCTGGTTCCTTCTTTTGCAGGCTGGTACCAGCAACTCACGTCTAGATGCTAGATGTCCTCTGCTTGCTGCTTCTAGAGAAACTGAGTATTTTAAGCGACGTAATGAAAATCAGGTATGATACCTCTGAAGACCAGCTGCCTCTGTTCAGTCTCTTAGGCTGCCACCATTGTAACTGCCTCAGGTAAAACATCTTTCTCAGAATTGCTACTTCATACATTGTATTTCTATGGAAGAACCATTCTGCATTCAAAGTTTGAAAAAATGAAGGTCACGTATAGAGATCATAGCTGCTGCCACCCCAGTATTTGGCTGTAAAAGAGCAAGCTTGTGGCGGAGGATGAGAAATGATCAGAGACACCACTCTGCATTGCATCAGTCCTGGCTGAGCTAACGTGCCTGCAACCGCGGAGGCAGGGCTGACCAGGAGGTGTCTTCGTCTGAGATGAAGTCTCGATATCACCATGTTGCGCTGAGTCCTAGGCACTCGGACTCCTTTCTAATGGATGCAAACACTTCCTTCTGTGAAGCTTCCTTTTTTCCTCAGGTGAACTGGACCTTTCCTGTTAGCACGCAGTGTCTTCTTTCCTTTGCAGAAAGTTACCAACCAAGTCACTGAGGACGCCGACAGTGAAGTGGCTCTGTGCCACAGTAGGCCTTCTGATGGCAGCCTGAGCCTTGAGACTTTTTGCTGCCATTAGATTTTCTGGAGCTATAGTTTCACTTACTCTGTTGGGAACTGAACTTTACCTTGAGGAGGGTTTCACCCTGTTCCATGGATTGAGCCCAGGGAGCATATCCTCAACCCATTTGTATTTTTTGAGACAGGGTCTTCCTACATGGCTGAAGCTGGCCTCAAGACTGGTTCTCCTGCTTTAGCTTTGCACACAGCTGCAATACCTGTGTGTAGGCTATTCCTGCCTGACTGTCTTAAGACTTCTCTGCTGTGGCCAGTGAGGTAACTCAGCGGTCTAAAGTGCCTGCTTAGGCAAGCTCAGGCAAGTGCAAGGACTGACTACTGACTGCAGTTTAATTCCTGGTACCAGCCCAGGGTGGGGTGAACCAGCCACAAAAACAAACAAACAAACAAACAATAACCCCTTCTCTGCTATCAAAGAAACACTGGAAAATTTCCTTGTGGGTGAGAGACACAACTAAGGAAGATTCTTTGAACTATCATACAAATCTCAGTTCCCTAACATTCAGACAGAAGCCTTGTATATTTATTGCAATGACGTTAAATGTTTTCTATCACTGTGACATTTGGCGCATCTTAAAAAGCTTGTCTTCCTTCTTCTTTTCCATTCTAGATGTGGGCTATTTATAAAATTAAGGTTGATAATCACTATCCATTTAGACTCTTTTTCTTGAGAATTTAATGAGTGTCTGAAGACAATGAAATGCTTAACAGTTACACGAATCAAGGTGTAGAAATTCATCCACACCTTGCAGCTGGAACTGTGTTTGGGTTGATAACTATGGTTTTAGGTCTGAAGGCCACACTTTTCCATCTTGCAAATGACACAAAATTTCTCTTACAAGCCAGTCTCAGCTGAGACAGCCTGCATAGCGCTAAACAACTCAGCCTGCAGAAAGCCACAGACTCTCTTGGCACTTTTTTTTTCTTTATGAAGAAGTGTGCATACAAGTTGAAAGTGAGCCTTCTTTCCACTTGGGAGATGGCAGAAGGGAAAGGCAACAGATGCGATCATCCCAAGTACTCCAGAGTCCCCAGTGCACATTGTACCATCTCAGTCTCAGGCCTACAGATTGAGCTACACTGTCAGGAATAACTCCAGACTGCAATTGGTTAATGACTGATCGTGCTTCCAGAGCTGCCAAATCTGGTACAGTTCAAAGGCACCATGTGGAGTGAAAAAATAATTTATCTAGAGACCACAGGGTATAGAAATGTTCCTGATACATGGGGACTCCTGGCAAAATTTGTTTTAAAATTGAACAAAGCATCCTACTGTTTTTCTAATGAAAACTCTGTAAGGTGAATGGAGAGGAAAACAGTGATCAAAACCAAATTGGGTCCTATCTGTAACTTCTTCAATGCAATTTTTATGATAATGATAATATACTCATGTATCTCTTGCCCTTTGAGATGTTCTAAGGAGCCAACTTGAAGCTTCGTACTTTCTTACACTGTGAAGGAACCATGCTCTTTAAGAAAGGCACCTATGTTCACCATCATTTTACTTAAAGATGTCTATCAAAGCAACTAAATATATAGTTTTATATGGAACTAAAAACTCTAAAACTAGGCTGGGGAGATGGCTCAGTGGAATAAGCGCTTCCCTGGCAAGTGCAAGGGCTTGAGTTCAATCCCTGGTTCTGCCAAAAATAAAAATAAAAATAAAAAAACTCTAAAACTACTTATGCAAGCTTTGATGGGCATTTTAGTATTTCAAAGTTTTATTATATCAAAGTTGTGTCATATCTGAACGAGACTCTTGCTACCCCAACTGTTGGTACTGAAGTGCCAGTGTCTCCATACAGGCCCCTCAGTGTGTGAACAGGGGACACGTCTGGGAGGGTATGGGTGGAGGCCAGTGGTTGAGAGCTTGCCAAGCCATGGGTGAGGCCATGGGTGAGGCCCTGGGTTCTGTGCCCACAATATACACACAGGAAACTGCAGTGTAAGGACTGGCTCTTGGGGTAACAGGGCTATGCATCCGTACTTACAGTTGAGGTCACCGTCTCTTCCGTCACTACCTTCAGAGTGTCAACTACGGAGATGTAGCCAAGGCGCCGGGCAATGCCAAGGGCAGTGTTCCCATTCTGGCCGTGGAAAAACAGTGGTAAGGAATGAACAAGCTGTACTCTAGAGATTTCACCTACACTAATCCTAATGCGATCCCATTACAAAAACTGCTCCATTAGAGACATACCATGCACAAACCCCACCTAACCTGTTTCTCCTCATCCTGCAGTCTGGAGAGCTTTGCTTGGAATCTAAAGGGCTTTTTAGGGTTCTGAGTAAGCAGTCAATGAAACTGACACCCAGTTTCTTCCTTACATATGGATTTCCTATGAAGAGGCAATGTAATTTGTAGTCTTAAAGTGTGAATAATAATTATACAGCTCATAACACTGAGGTTCTCCCGTCCCCCGGCCATTCTATTCTGCATGTTCTCAAAAAAGCACCAACAGTGAGAAGACACCAGGGCCCACCCTTGCCTCCGAGCTGGCCCCCAGCTTACCACAGTGAGTTCGTTGGGAGAGGCATTGTTTTGAAGCAAGACGTTTATTATATGCGTGTGTCCCTGCTGAGCTGCTTGATGCAGGGGGGTGTACCCATTCTGAGAAGGAAGAGGGGAGAGACCACTCTAACTTATTTGGGTACAAAAGCAACTATTTAGCAGGAAGAAAGGAGAAAGGGGTTTACCTTTGTTTTCGCATTAACTTTTGCAGAATGCTGGAGCAGGAAATTAACAATCTTGATGTTTCCATAGTGACAGCCTACGTGTAGTGGTGTGTATCCCATCTGCAATTAACAACAACAACAGCAGCACAAGTACAGTTTTAGTAACAGAGATCCTAAATGTAAGCAAAGTTATTATTTAATTTTTTTGAGCTAGAACAAAGTTTATAAAAAATGTCCTTGGTGATTCTCAGACCTAGTCTTTGCTATAAAAATACCATTGCACATAAAAAGAGCTATTTTGCTTTCCCACACACTCTCTTGTAACAATTCGTTTTGTTCCCGTAAGCCCTGTGTGGGACTGGAAGGGAAGACGGAACCACTGAGGGGCCAAGGCTGACTCAGGGGCTCCTGGCCGAGGCTCAGAAGGGGCTTTGCGAAAGAGTGGGCCGGCATGTATTTGCTATCGCACTCTTTAAATACTGAAAATCCAGGTGAAGCATGAGACGCTAATGACAGCGCTAGACAGATGATGTCAAGACCGCAGGCAGCAGAACAGGGAGAGGCCAGGGCGGGTTCCAGCTTCCAGCGGCCCCAACCAACGGGAGGCGGGCTGTGTGACCTGCCCCGGGCGCAGCCCACCGCCTTCCCTGGGCTGCAGCAGGTTAGAAAATACTGACTTCGACACAGCGTTTGACTGTTTCTTGAGTCCGCGTGCCATGGACCCCAGAGGCGCCACGGTCATTCTGCACTCACCCTTTCCCTCACTCGTTTTCTAAACGCCTATATGTGAATACAGTACATGAAACCCACGTAAGTGTTCTTGAAAATAACACTAGTCTGTGAAGCTCTGGATATCTGGCTTTGGCTGGCTTGGGGCCACAAACCAAAGTGCCAGCACACCACGCTGACCAGGCTACAACCAGGCCGGCCCCAGCAAGCTGGCTGTGACCGCCAGGACAGGAAAGATGGATGGACAATCCCTAGAGCCCTTTAATGCATGAGGGCGTTGCTCCTCTCTGCTCGCCAGAGCCTCTCGCCTGCTTTGCTTCTGCTGGTGGCCAAGGAATCAGGTGCTGTCCCCACTGTGGATCAGAGCACGATTAGATGAAGGAGCCTTGAGGACAGTTTGTCCAAGCGAACTCCTCTGTACGCTTTAGGGTTATGGTGGTATCTGAATGCGGCTGCTACAAAGTGTTCCCTCCCACTATCTCATGCCTAAATAGCACCTGGCATGTCACAGGGACTTGGCAAGCTCTCTCGATCTGCGTGAAAACTGAGTGAAAGATCTAAAGCAATGACTGTGTCATCCTTGTGGAAGAGGAGACAGGCTCAGAGGGAGGCTTCTGGATGTTTCTGATCCAAGGCATCCTGGCACAGTGTCTTCCTTGGGAGTAGTTAGGTGCCCCCACAGTGATTCTGCAGAGGGAGGAGGAATCCACTGGATCCCCAGCGTCTACACCCTGTGGCTTCCTAAGAAGGACTCTCAGCTCTCCCATCATCAGTGGACACGCCCACCGATGCCCACAGCTACTGCCCAGCTAAGAAATGTGTTTTACAATGTTTAGGTACTGATGTTGCTAAAGGAATATCTTTCCTAGTTTCACACGCTACATGTAATGTCGGTGTGTGGGCACCTGCCTACCTAGCATGCCCAAGCCTGGGCTTCCATCCTCAGCACCACGGGAGAAGAAAAGTTACTGGACAGTGTGGGATAATATGACAGTGGCAGCTCCAAGGAAGACTGGCTTTTTTTTTTTTTTTTTTTCAGCCAGCTCAGCATGACTTGGGTGTGGAGCTGGCACGGCATGTGGTGTCAGAGATTGAACAGTGGTTTCAGTTCCTGAGCTTGCCTAAGCAGGTGCTTTAAACTGCTGAGCTATCTTGCCAATCCCAAGACTGAAAAATGTTTTCAAACATAGCTTTTCCATAATTTTAGTTCAGTATAAATAATTGATACTGTGAAGTACATTTAGTAATACTGTAAACAGGAATTTTTTCTTTTAGAAAACAGACTCTAAAATTAAACTTCGCATATTTCACTGCCTGGAGGAACCATTCTTGAAGTTTTTAGTTCTAATAATTTTTCTCCCGTTGTTCTCCTTTTCATTTTATTTTTATTTTTATTTTTCAGTATTTAGGACAGGGTCTACAGGGTCTCACTACATAGATCAGATTCTCCTGTTTTCAGCCTCCCAAGTGCTTGGATTACAGGCTTGCGCCACCTTGCCTCGTTTCCATCGCAGGCTCCGTGTGCCCCAGGGGCAGTGCCGGGGCCACACCCTGGGAATCAAAACCCAGCTGCTGTGCTCTGCCTCAGCAGGCGCATTAGTCCCTGAGCTATCTGGCCAGCCCATTCTCCCTTTTACTATGTCTCCAAAAGTTGTATAAATTCAACAGTTGGATGAGGGGACTCCGAGGCATTAGAATAGTCAAAGTTCATGAAAGAGTAATTGCATAATAACTAGAGAAAAGAAAGAAAGCTGTCACCTCTCACCCACCTGCTTCACCTTTGGCATCCCATGTAGTGCTGTTGCCCTTGTTCTTTCTTGTGACATCTTCCTCTTAGTTTACAGATATGCTTACCTGTTCCCTACTTAGGAACCAAAAAGCACCACTTTCCAAGACTTCTGTATTTTAGGTCTCTGTCCTCTTATAATTAAAATTCTTGAAAAAAATTACTTCCTTTGCTGCTCCTTGCCATCCTCCCCACAGCTATCTTTCTGCAGGGAAGCTGCCTCGTAATGCCCCAGTGCTAAGCCAGAGCCCAGGAAATGTACTTTTTTACCATGGAACCTCTCAGTGACAGCCTGTTGCAGCCTGCATCCCGGTCCTGTCTGTCCTGACCTTCCTTTACCCTGAGGCAGGATCTCTTCCACCCCCACCCCCGCCCACTCTAAAACACCCTGGGCTCCGGGATCCTGGTCTTCCTAGTGATCACGTCTATATCCACAACTCCACCTACCATGTCCACTCTGATGGCCGCTCAAATCTTAAACTTCCTGCAGCCCAGACCATTATTTTCATCATTTCTCGGGTTTTTCTCCCTGGACGGCCCTTGGCAATCTACAGCTTGACAGGGCCACCCCTCTAGCTGTCCCTGGTTTTCTGTCCCCTGAACAGTGCTGTGATCATCTGGTCACCCAGCTCAGGTCCCCAGAATTGCCCCGACTGTCTCACTTTTCCTCTATCCTCCTATGCACGTGACTTCTGAAGTCTTACTATTCCTTTATCTTGAAGGGTTAACATTTTCTCCTGTTGGGAAGCTTCCCCTCTGCCATGGATTTGAGGTCTTCTTTAGTCTTCACTGAGACCTTAGCCACAGCCTACCTGCCCTGTCCCAAACTCTTCTGTATCTTATATTTTGTACATTTTCCCAGGATCTTTGTAAACCATTTTGCTGACCTTACCACTGTGTTGCAAACCTTTGGTGGCTTCACAATACAAACAGAATAAAATGCGAGCTGCTAAGTTCACGTTGGAGTCTCCACCAGGAGTCTTCTGATGTTCTAGCAATGTCTTGGGGTGTATGAAATCATTTTTCTAATTTTCCAGAGGTCCAGAACCAGCTAGGTATTATCTCTGTCCTCCCAGATAATAAAAGTTATTTCTAAAATGCATGTATCTCTCTCAAATCAGGCTTTGTACCAATTAACTGAATACCAGAATCCACTTTTCTGGGAATAAGTTTTCTAACTCAAAAAATGGGGTCACAAATTCTACCAATCCATTAGGGAAACTGTAAGGACCAAACAAAGCAGTTCCTAGGGAGCATGGACTATAGTCTGGGACAGAGAAAATGGGCAATGCCTGTGCTATTATGATCTGTGTCTTCTTCTCTAGACCACAAATTCCTTGAGGGCAAGGAGAGCATCACCCAGGTAAGAATTTGGGAATTAGTAGGAGTTCTACAAACAAATCCAAAATGAATGTCAAATAAGATCTTAAAATCTTTTATGATTTATGCACAAGGAAATTTACGTACTTATCAATTCTCAAATTAGTACCTTCTAAGAATCATGACTTTCAGGGCTGATTTCAGAAATATACTTCAGACATCATCTGTTTAGAAGCAAAAAAAAACAGTGGCTTCATTTCAGCCAATAACACTGACTATAAAACCAGTACCAAAAAAATTAAAAAAAAAAATCAATCAAACAGAAGAAACCAACCCTGGGTCAGCAACACACTTTAGTCTGAGCTGATTTACTAAACACAGAAGGCAAAGGAGGAGGCTGTGTACAAGGTCCGCGATTGGGTGGGAAGGCTGTGAAGGCACTGCTGAGGACTCCACTATTTTCCTCTTTTGGAAAAAAGAGTCCTTATATTTTCACTACTACTATTTTTAAGTCTTAAGCCCATGAAGCGAATGGTCGACATCCCAGCCGACGGCTGCTTGGAGGTGTTGGCGGCACTTGGCAGCTTTTAGGGTCCTACAAACACCTCACACACAGGTAGGCAGTAAGGCCCAGCAGCCCTTCTCACTGTAGGACTGCTGTACTCCCCTGTGGGACAATCACAGCCTCCTTCCATTGGTGGATGAGGTCTTTGGTGAGGGAGAAAAAAGGAAAGGAAAAGAATTTCTCAGAGATCGGGCTGGTGAGATAGCTCCATGGACTAAGTGCCTGCTTAGGCAAGTGCAAGGACTGCATTTTGATCCCTGGTCCAAGCTGTTTAGTGAGTCCCTGTACCAAATGCATTTAATAAAGGAAAGAAAGGAAGAAAAAAATTTGTCAGATAGAGGGATGGAGAGATGCTTTTTAAAGAGAGCTGTTGGTAAAGGGAAAGAAAAAGTATAGAATTGGAAACATTATACTAACAACAAAAGTACTTCCTGCCTATGAACCTGACTTGGGTGAGGTGAGATGAATCCCTGGCAGAGGCCTGAGGATGTGGTAAACTGAGGGCCAATGCAGGCCAGTGGTGCCTGGGGGCCTCTTCCCCACCCCAGCCATCCTGGGGACCACCACAGAACTCCTGACTGGATTTGGAGCAGAAATATGAGGAAAATCTTGGCCCAGCCCTTGCCTCCAAGAAGTCTATGCCTAAAATTTAGTCTATTTCTAAAAGGAGAAGTGACCTAGTAAAATATTTAAGCTTTTTTTGTGCATGTGTAAATCAAACAATACAGAGTGAATGTATTTTCCATAAAGTTTCCATAAGGTGGAGAATTCTTTCTTGATAGGAAAGTTTTCAAGCAAAATACAGAAAACAAGCTAACAATCTGATTTTGATGTTTGCTGTGCATTTTTATCTGATGAATTCTTGGCATTTATATCTTTAAAGGATTCACATGCCTCAGAATCTACTTATATTATATAGGAAAATGCTTTATTTAAAATGATATTTAATAGATGTTCTTTTTAGTGTCAAACATGACATGTGTTAAGAAAGCAAAGATTCTAGAATGGATAGATCTGAGAGGAGGTAACACAATAAGCAGCTGAAGGAAACATTCAGGAGGGAGATTAGTAAGAGTCATACCTTGATGTTAACACATAACATCCATCTTTTAAATTTGCATTTGAATTGTGGCATTATTTGAAATCCTTCAGCGTGTTTGTTCTTTTTTAAGGTGAGGTGTTTTGTCACAGAGGAAGAGAGGACACACGGGAATGGGTGAGAGACAGAAATGTTGCTACACAGGCCGTTAGGAATTTGGCAAGGGGATAAAATTGAATAATTCTTAATTTTTCAATCTTTCATCAAATATGCTGAACAAAGTTAAATTATTGACAAGCTTATCTATCTGTCTATCACCTATCAAGCTTATTTTTGTTCATGAAATCTAGAAAATATGCAAGCTTTCCCACTGCCTGGAAGGATGGGCCCACAGCAAGGCTCGCTCGCTGGTACAGAGCGTGACGCGGACATACCGACATTCAACTCATACTCAGGAAACAGTGACGAAAGCATTTGAGATACCACAGCCAGAGTCACAAATGCACACCTGAAGTGATGTCCACAAGTGACACGACTAAGGGCCTTCTCCTTGTACAGCTGCAGATGTCTCATAGTGCAGTCACAAATGGCACATCTGCATGGGACGGGGGGAGGCCATACCTTCGTCTGGGCATCGACATGTGCTCCTTGGTTGACCAGGACTTCAGCCACATTCACTCTGTCTTCTTGAGCAGCCAGGTGCAGCGGGGTGAGGCCGCTCTGCAAAAGATCCAAGTGCATAGTCACTCCCAGGAAGGAGGCGGTATACACAGCCACCTCTCAGAGGCAACGGGGAAGGTCAAGGCCATAAGCCTAGGATTTCCATGTTCAAAATAACATCTAAGGATGAAAGTCCACAGGCTGCACTGATGAGCCCCAGGGCAACGCTGCCATCTGCGGACTTCAAGACAACTTTCAAGCATACCGAAAAATAGAGGGAACAGGGTAAGCTTTGCGTATCTATTACACACCTGACAATTATCAAGGCTTTTGTTTTTTGCTTCATTCCTCTTTTTTCTCCCCACACGGATTCCTTTGTGGCATATTTACTTTACTCCATTTTATTTTATTTTTAATTTAATGTATTCAGTACAGGGTCTTACTCTGCAGATTGGTCTCATAGTGACGCTCCTGTCTCAGCCTCCCCAGCGCTGGGATTACAGGCATATGCCACCAAGCCTGGTCTCGGTGGCTGGCTCAGTGTGCCCGGTGGTGGGGCTGGAGCAGCATGCGATGTTGGGGATCAAACCCCAGTGCTTGAGCTTGCCTAAGCAGGCACTTATCTGCTGAGCTATCTTGCCGGCCCAGCATCCTTTATTTTAAAGCAAATCCCAGATATTACCCCATTTTCCCTATGCATACCTCGGTGTTCACGTACAATTATTAAAGACTTTTTAAAAAGCACAGTTGTGTAGGATTTTAATTACCAGTGAGACTTACTTAGTTACCAATGATAATTATTACCAGTGATGCTAGCTTTAGCAAAAATCACCAAGATAGTGTCTGTTTATGAAGTCAACAGTGACACATGATGACACTGTGCCTATGTGCAGGTATCCAAAGCCTGGTGGAGAATTTCTGTATGCTGCTTTTGTGTGGGAAAGACACCCGGGGAGCGAGATGAGAACAATCGACCATGAGAATTTCAAGTCGTGTCAATGAAGCGTGGGCCTGATGAGGCGCATTATTTGAAAGTGACCCTGCCAGCCAATCTGCAGTGCTTGGGTGTTTTAATGATCAGGAAACAGTCATGCAGACTGTATTTTTTTTTCTTTTTGTTAAAAAATCTCTATAGTTGTCAAGCGTTTCTGAAGAGAAAGGGAGTTGGTATAAGAGCTTTCACATTACTTTATCCATTATGATCATAGAATCCAGTATCCCGAGTTAGACTCTTGGGACCTTCCTTCTTGTACCCTGGGATTTGCATCATGAAGAACATCAGCCTGTCCTATCTGTCAGAGGAAAGGAGCAGATCCAAAGCAGCTTTGGGGAGAGGACAGAGCTCACTCGGCTTAGGACTTTATTTAGGAGTCAGGATTCAATCAGGAACATCGCAGGACTCTCACTCCCGCGGCCTCTGACGACTTGGGATGACACTGTGGGGAATTATGTGGAGGAAGGCAATGCGTAGCGTGACAGTCGCAGCCAACAGGCGGCGCGCACAGTCACTGAGGGTCACAGAGCTGCGCTCGCGGTTGTGCTACGGCAGCAGCAATAGCATTTTGAGCCGTCACGTCTCGTGAACGTGTCGGGCTTGCCCACTCTCCCCACGGCCCAGTACCCCGAGTGCCTCTCAGCACAGACCGAAATGCATGCAGCATGGGCCTCGGTCCTCACGCTGCCCATCTGCGCCCCCGGGCTCACGCGATTGCCGGTGCGGTGTGGCCTCCGCCAGCACCCGCCCCGCCGCCGAGCCCCAGGCAGGGGCACGCTGCCGCAGCGACTCTGTGTTCTCTCCCGCTGAGGCGTGTCACAGCTGCATATTTAAACTTCATATCGTAGTTGAATCAGGAAATTTACCTTTAATCTTTACATAACCAGCGTCTGGCACCTAGCATTTAATGCAGGACCAAGGACCATTAAAACATTGTACTTTTGTGAAGAGACAGGAGAAATAAAATAAAATGGAATTTTCATATTAGTGGCTTTTGTTAAAAATATTATGAGATCCCCAATAGTTCTGTTCATGATCAGAAGTTACTTATTAATCTTTCAGATTTTGACAACTGTTCCTTTTAAAAGTAGCATTTATTTGAAAGAGAGAACATAAACCTAGAGCACTAAGATTCTCTGCTTCATATTTCTCAAGTGAATAAAAAATAGAGGCATTTGCAATCTGTGAAATCTACGTGAAGAAGTACAAATCCTAGCAGCAAAATCGACTTGAAGTAAACAGTAGCGCTGCACAGTACTCAGGGCTCGCGCTCTCTGCCGTACAGCTATGGGGCAGCAGCTGTTAGGAGGACGGAAACAGCGCGGGAATATGAAGGATTTTGTGCAATATAAATTTGCGTCACTGTTAAATCTTTAGGTTCTATTTAGCAAATCAAGTGTCAAACGGGATGGCGGGAAGCGTGGGTGTGAGAGGCGCGCAGGGCGTGGGACGGATGCTGCGGCGCGTGGCTCAAACCGAAATCGCCAGAAGCCTCCTCCGGAGCCCGCTACCTGGCGCGTCTTCTCACCACAGGCCCACCGCGGTGCTCAGCGTCCGAAGCCAACGTGCTCTAAAACCCAAAGCTGAGCCCTGTCGGGGCGCCACAGGAGGAGCGTCCTGACGTTCGTGCTCGCAGGCTTAGCGCACAAGTGCAGCGCCCGGATTATCCCCTACTGTGTAAGTGAGCAACCTAGTGAGATGCTTTCAAGACAAAATAAATATAAAAAGCCTGAGAAAACAGCTGAGCGTGAAGGTCCTCTGTGTAGTGTCTAGTAGCACAAAAACAAAACCGCATACACACACTCACACACATACATATGTGTAATACCATATTGTATGAAATTTGCTTCAGACTCTATATAAAGTGTATAGCAAACATCAGTGAATTTTAACTTGGATTCTGTATACCAAGCTATCTCATTTACTTATGTTAAAAAAATCTAAAATCTGCAACACAAAAAAACACCCCCTCAATTTCAAACACATCTGGTTCCAAGTTATTTATTTATTTATTTTTGAGGTACGCAGGATTGAACTCAGGACCCTGTGCTTGCCAGGCAAGTACTTATTCTACCGAGGTATCTCCCCAGCCCCTAAAGGGACTGTGTCCGAAGTGGGATTGTCTTTGGTACTGGAAGTTGAACTCAGGATGTTATGCTTGCAAGGCAAGTACTATGCTGCTGAACTATATGCTTGGCCTGGTCTCAAGTATTTTAGATAAAAAATATTCAACTCATACTTGTTTTCGCTACTCTTCTCATCGCAGAGACAAAATAACTGGCACCCAAAGGAGGAAAGTTTTATTTAGCCAACAGTTTGCAGAGGTTTCAGTTCCTAGTGGGCTGGCTCCAGGGCAGCACGGCATAGCAGATGAGCAACAGTTCATAGGCCGCAGAAGGGACAACCACAGCTCTTCTGATCCCTTCTACTCGCCCAGGCTACTTGGGGTGGGTGGCACTCACAGGCTTAATCCTAGTGCCACTGATTCTAGCATTGTGCCATGAATCAATCCCAGAATCCCACCCTTCAGACCCAGCCTACTCTGAACAAGTCCTACTTGACTGCACGAGCTTTGGGGAGGACATCTAGACACAGCCACAGCATCCTGCCCCAACAGGCGCATGCACATCCCTTTGCACAAAAGGCACTTAGGCCATCTCTAAGAGTTTCCAAAGCATTGCTGCTAAGTCTAAGTCCAAAATCTACCTCGAGAGAGACTTAAGGCAAACTCTTAGCTGCAAGCCCTTGTATAAATGAAAAGAAAGCTAAATACTTCCAACATTTACTGGCACAAGATAGATATTTCCATTCCAAAAGTTACAAATGGGAATAGCAAAGAACAGGAACAAAGCAAAACCAAACTCCAGTAGGGCAAACATTAAACACCACAGTTCCACTTCTGGCATCCCTGGCAATCTGTGGTAAATTGTGAACTCCAAGGGATTAGGTGGCTTCACTCCTACAGGACAGCCAGCGGTTGTAGCTCCCATGGCTTCTCTCTTGGGTATTTCTGTTCCTCGTTGCAGTTTTCCTCAGATGACCCCATTCCTGGCTTCTCCAAATGTCTGGGGTTTCCACTGCACGCCTGGCCTCACGCTCACGGCTTTATATGCTGCGCTCTCAGGCGCGTACTACCTGGCCTCCCCCACGCATCGTTCTGAAATATGAGTGAGAGCATTCATGGTCCTCAACTCTTGCATTCTGCACGGACCTAAAACCAGCACTACATGGATGATGCCATGGTCTGCTGCCAGCTGGAGCAGCAGCCAGGCTGCCTTCTTTCTTGGCTGTAGGGGTCAGTGCCATGAACCAAATTCTGAGGAACGACTTTCCTAGACTGCCACCGTTCTGGAACATGTTGCTCTGGGGCTTGCTTCTCAAAGCAGTCTTTCATCTTTGCAAGTCTGAGGCTGCAGAGGCCAGAGCTCTGCTGGTTCTTGTGATGTCTTCAAGCATCTTTTTTTCTGTTGTCTTCTGAAATACTTGGACTTTCCATGCTAGCTTTTCCAGTGAGCAATTTCGCCGCTGCTCCATCTTTGCAGGCTACAACTTTACTGGAGTTTCCTTTCTGGCCAAACTCAAAATGTTTCAAATTATTCAGCTGGGCTCTTCGCTCTTGATTCTCAGTACAAATCTGGGTAAAAGCCCCCAACAGTAGCCATGCCACTTCAACACTCAACTGCCTTGAAATTTCTCCTGCGAGATTAATTAGGCTGCTGCCCTTAATCCCAGTCTCAGGCAAAGTCTCTGCATATGAGAAAAATGCAGACAAACTTTTTACCAAGGACCACACATCTTGTGTGGAGTCCAACAGCTAGTACAGTCCTTCCTCCCAGGAGAAACCTCCTGAGCTTGGTATTTATTGGCAGAATTTCTATCAGCATTTTAGTCTTCTAAGCTCTGACTAAAATCTTCCACCAAGGACAGCCTTAGATGCTGCAGCTGTCCCTTTTCAGCTGGCATTTTCAAACCTTTCCTAACTCTTTTTCTTCTGACAAGCCACTTCCAAAGGCTCCTGAGTCACACTGTCATCTACAGTCATAGCAACAACCCTACTCTGAGTACC